CAGAGCAGAGAGGTTTTGGAAAAGGGACATGAGAAGGGCCTCAGGCCAGGCTCGGGGCAGGCTTCTTCCTCAGCTGCTCCATGGCAGAGGGCTCGAGGAGTGCCTTTCTGGTAGGGCAGGCTCAGGGGGTTTCAGGAATGGGGAGGTCGGCAACGGTGACCACATCGCCTGGGCGGCAGCATCCATCCTGTGGACCGTGGCCATCATGGTGGCTTACAGGGATATGGCAGTGAGGTCAAATAGACATGGCCCACGGGCGACCATGGGAAGCCCTCGGTAGAGATGGAGGCAGTTAGAACTGTCGTCCCTGGAACGACTCATTAGTGCAACGTGGGGGTTGGAGGCGGGGTGATGCCCCTGCTGGGACAGGTCACATCTGGCCGCAGGAATGCAGCAGAGAAGCCTGCCCGGGTGACGGTGAGCCTCGGGAGGCCAGGGCGCCCGTCTGCCGTGGGCTTGACGTGTTTCCTCTTAGGGGGAGGTGGCAGCGCCTGGGCGTCTTGGGGTTGCCAGTGGTGTTCAGATGGGTAGGTTGAATCTGGGCACCAGTGCCCTTTCCTACGCCCTCCCCTCCCCTCCAGAGCTGACTTTGGCAGGTGTGGCAGTGAATGGTGACCTGGAGAGGCCCCCTCAGGGTGGGTAGCCAGGCCATGCAAGTTTCCCCAGAAGTTTGGGTTTCCAGTGGGAGGGCAGTGGGCACCAACTGGCGGAATGTGGTGGGGAACAGTGCCACGAGAGTTGGTCTTGGACTAGGGGCAGGCGAGGATGTAGGATCAGGGTATGTGCTGATGGGTCTTTCTGCCCGGTGGCCAGATCCACACATGGTTCCTGTGTGCTTGCTTTTGGGGCAGAGGTGGGTACCCCAGGCCCACGGACGGCTGGGTTGTGTTCTTAGGTCAGGCAGTGTTCCCGGTCCAAGGCTCGGCCCCCTGTGGCATGGCCCCCAGGGCAGGATCGGGCCACAGTGCAGGGCCCGGTGGGCTTCTGGTGACGCGGGCCTCTGTGGGTGACAGTTGGATGTGGGCGGACACGCAAGTGGCATGAGCATGTGAGGTCACCCCCTGCACAGGTCCTGCTCTGAAACCCGCCAGAACCAGTGTTAGGTGACCTGCTGCCAGATGGTTGGTCGCTGGCACCTCGGGAAGTGGGGACTCTCAAGCCCCAGGTGGGCTTTCTGCATTGAACAAGGGAGGGGATCTGGCCGCGGCAGAGAAGGCAGGAGCATGGGTGGCTGGCTGCGGGAGGCCACTTGCGCCCCCGTGGCCCTAGGCCACAAAGCATCCTCTCCCAGAAGCTTCCAGCTCATTGCTTCTGGAACGGTTCCCCTCGAGCTGAGAATTGTCCCCTTGGGCTAGCTTACGAATGCTGTTTTGTGTCTCCATGGAATGCACTTCTCTTTCGGGACGAGTAGGTGCTGTGAGGGCCGTTGTTGGGTGGAGGTGTTCTGGGCTGGGACCCAGACCGTGGAAGGGTGAGGTCCACGAGATCCCCCTATGGCTGGGCGGACAGCATGTATGAGAGCAGTGGTGGAGTGCATGGACTGGGGACTCATTTCCTTTGCAGCACTCTGTGCCGAGCGTGGCCCTCGCTGCCCATCCCCACCTCCTCCCCCTCCCTTTCCCACGACCCGCTCCTCTTCCCACCACCCTTCCCTCCATCCCCCACCCCATACCCCAAACCCCCATGCTTGGAAGCGTCCACATGTGGGTGTCTGTCCGCAGGCACGGGAGGAGCACTCAAATCATAGGGAGAGGCAGAGCAGTGTGTCCCCGCTGTGAGGCACAGCCGTGGATGCCCACAGACCTGTCCGCCATGCTGAAGCGCACCTGTCTCTTCTCCCCACTTCCCAGGTGGAGTTGGCTGGCCGCGGGTGTCTGTGAGCATCGGGGAGTCCCATTCTGCCTCATCGGCAATGCCCAGCCTGTGAGGCGAAGACAGCCTGGGAGAGCAGCGCTGTGTTGTCTGCGGTCACGTGGGAGCTGCTGGCATAAGCAGTAAGAGGCTCACCTCTGCCTCAGCTGGCTGGGGTCTTCCCGAGGCCTCCTTGGCTGAGGATGGCTCCCCTGGCTGCATGGTGGCTTGGCCCTGGGTTCTGCCGAGAGCCAATGTGTGTGAATGCATCAGCTGTCTCAGGCTGGAGCCCTACACTTTTAATGTTCCATGTCCTGAAATGTGCTCGGATCGATGATGACTCCCTACAAAATGCATTCCTTGGAAATCTGAACAAAATGAGTACAATCCCTACCGTCGTCCTCATCGGAACTGAGGTCCAGCACGTGGCTCCACCTGGGAACTCTGACTGAGGGACACATGCCGTCCAATAGCTTTGCGGGTAGCTAGGAGTGTGTGCCAGGTTTGGAAGTCACTGTATGGTGGGGGAAAGTCTCAGCGGCAGAGGGATGCCCACCCCCACCCCTAGGGAATGCCCACTGCGACTCTGGCCTTCTGGGTGCAAAGGTCTGGCCTCTCCTAGAGCGGCCCGGGAGGGTGTGGGTGTCAGAGGTCGGCATACCACGCTGCACGGGAGCAGGCTGCCTTGGAGTCACTGAGGCCCTACCACCACCACTCACTCCCATCCCCAACGCTGCCTCGGGCACGGCCCTGGTCTCCGTCCTTGCCCCAGGCAGGGCCCTGCTCCTCCCTGCCCTTGTTCCTTGTCCATCCAGGGCAGAGACTTTTGGACATGGGATAGGAGAAGGGCCTCAGGCCATGCTCGGGTCAGTCTTCTTCCTCAGCTGCTCCGTGGCAGAGGGCTCGTGGAGTGCCCTGGAAGGGCAGGCTCAGGGGGCGTCGGATTGGGGAGGTTGGCTATGCCAGCCGTATTGCCTGGGTGACAGCACCATCCTGTGGGCTCTGGCCATCATGGTGGCTTACAGGGACGTGGCTCTGAGGTTAAAGGGCCGTGGCCCACGGGGGACCAGGGGAAGCCCTCAGCGAGATATAGGCAGTTAGAACCGTGGTCCCTGGAACAACTCATTAGTCGACGTGGGGTTTGAGGCGGGGTGATCCCCTGCTGGGACAGGTCACCCCTTGCCGCAGGCACACAGGAGGGAAGCCTGCCTGGGTGACGGTGAGCCTCGGGAAGCCAAGGTGTCCAACTACAGTAGGCGTGATGTGTTTCCTCGTAGGGGGAGGCGGCAGTGCCTGGGCATCTTGGGGTGTCTGGTGGGTTTCAGATGGGCAGGTCAAATCTGGGGGCCAATGCCCTTTCCAATGCCCTGCCCTCCCCTCCACAGCTGACTTCCGCGGGCAAGGCAGTAAATGGGCCCCCAGAGAGTCTCCTTCAAAATGGGTAGCCGACCCATGCACGTCTCCCCAGAAGTTTGGGTTTCCATCGGGAGGACAGCGGGCACCACCTGGCAGAATGTGGCAGGGAACAGTGCCGTGAGAATTGCTCTTGGACTAGGGGCAGGAGAGGCTGCGGGATCAGGGTATGTGCTGATGGGTCTTTCTGCCCAGTGGCCAGACACACACATAGTTCCCGTGTGCTTGCTTTTGGGGCAGAGGTGGGTACCCCAGGCTCAGGGATGGCTGGGTCGTGTTCTGAGGACAGACAGTGCTCCTGATCCAACGCATAGCCCCCTGGGGCGCGGCCCGCAGGGCAGGATTGGGCCATGTCGCAGGGCCCCACGGGCTTCTAATGACATGGGCCTCCGTGGGTGACCCTTGGATGAGGGCGGACACATGAGTGGTATGAGAGTGCGAGGTCACTCCTTGCATGGGTCCTGCTCTGGAGCCCGCGAGAACCAGTGTTAGGTGACCTCCTGCCAGATGGATTGGTCACTGGCACCTCGGGAATTGGGGGGTCTCTCGAGCCCCAGGTGGGCTTTCTGCATTGAAAAAGGGAGGGGATCTGGCCATGGCAGAGAGGGCAGGAGCATGGGTGCCCAGCTGTGGGAGGCCACTTGTGCCCCCATGGCCCTAGGTCACAAAGGGTCCTCTCCCGGAAGCTTCCGGGCTCATTGCTCCTGGGGCAGTTCCCCTCGAGCTGAGGGCTATTCCCTTGGGCTAGCTAGCTGATGCCGGTTCGTGTCTGCCTGGCGTGTACTCGCTCTCGGGAAGAGTAGGTGCTGCGGGTGGGTTTGCTCCCTGCCAGGGCCCCGGCTGTTGGGCAGAGGTGTTCTGGGCTGGGACCCAGACCGTGGGAGGGCGAGGTCCACTAGATCCCCCTATGGCCGTGTGGACAGTGTGTAGGAGACCAGTGGTGGGGTGTGTGGACTGGGGACTCGTTTCTTTTGCAGCACTCTGTGCCCAGGGTGGCCCTCACTGCCCACCTCCACCTCCTCCCCCTCCCACGCCCGTGACCCGCTCCCCTTCCCGCCACCCTTCCCTCCTTCCCCCACCCCGTACCTCATGCCCCCAAGCTTGGAAGCGTCCACATGTGGGTGTCTGTACGCAGGCATGGGAGGAGCCCCCAGATCGTAGGGAGAGGCAGAGCAGTGTGTCCCCGCTGCAAGGCACTGCAGTGGATGCCCACAGACCTGTCTGGCATGCTGAAGCGCACCTGTCTCTTCTCCCCACTTCCCAGGTGGAGTTAGCTGGACGTGGGCGTCCGTGAGCATGGGTGAGTCCCATTCTGCCTCATCCGCGATGGCCGGTCTGCATGGCGAAGATGGCCGGGGAGAGTAGCGCTGTGTGGTCTGCAGTCACGTGGGAGTTGCCAGCATAAGCGGTAAGAGACTCGCCTCTGCCTCAACTGGCCGGGGATCTTCGCGAGGCCTCCTTGGCCGAGGATGGCTCCCCTGGCTGCACGGTGGCTTGGCCTTGGGTTCTGCCGAGGGCCGATGTGTGTGAACGCATCCGCTGTCCCAGGCTGGAACCGGCACTTTTAACATTCCATGTCCTGAAATGTGCTCGGATTGATGATGACTCCCTACAAATGCATTCCTTGGAAGTCTGAACAAAATGAGTGACAATCCCTACCGTTGTCCTCATCGGAACTGAGGTCCAGCACGTGGCTCCACCCGGGAACTCTGAGTGAGGGACACATGCCATCCGAGAGCTTTGCGGGTAGGTAGGAGTGCGCGCCAGGTTTGGAAGTCGCCGTCTGGCTGGGAAAATCTCAGCGGCAGAAGGAGGACCATCCCCACCCCTAGGGATTGCCCGCGGTGACCGGGGCCATCTGCGTGCAAAGGTCTGGGCTCTCCTAGAGCGGCCCGGGAGGGTGCGGGTGGCAGAGGTCGGCGTACCACACCGCGCAGGAGCAGGCTGCCTTGGAGTCACTGAGGCCCTACCACCACCGCTCACCCCCACTCCCGCTGCCGCCCCGGGGCCCTGCTCCTCCCTTGACCTTGTGCCTTGTCCACTCCAGGGCAGATAGGTTTGTGACGCGGGACAGGAGAAGGACCTCAGGCCAGGCTCGGGGCAGGCTTCTTCCTCAGCTGCTCCATGGCAGAGGGCACGTGGCGTGCTCTGTAGTTTTCTTGGGTTGTCTGTTCTAGTCAGTTTAGTGGCCTTGTGGTCTTGTTTTTTGATATTCTGACTGCCCTTCCTGAGAGATAGTCTCCTGTGGAGTGCCTTTCATTGCCTCTTACTACGTTTTTCCCTTTGAAAAAATATTTTTATCTGTTTGAGTCTGACGTCTTCATCCCCTCAGGTAGGATCCTAGTATAAATGATATTTTTTTCAATTTTTTTTAACATCCTGTTTATGATATACTGTTTATGTGTTTTTCCGTCCCCTTCATCTTCACACTTTGTGTATCCTTCACATTTATTGTTTTGTGGTTTTTCTTTTTCGTCTTTCTATATATGCTGTTTATTCCCTTAGTATTTAGAAATCATGTATATTTCAGTGATTCAGGCTTTTTTGTTTTTTCATTTTGCATTCCTCCTTAGGATCCTTTTGTCTATATTGTGTGTTTCAGCTTTGTGTTCACATCATATTATTGATCTATCCCAATTATGAACGTGGATTATTCAGCAAAATGATTTACTTTTATGAAATTTTTTTTCTTAGTATCTTAGCATTGAAATTTCCCAGTGCTTTTTGGATTTTTTTTTTCCAGTGGAACATATTGCACCATGCCTGTCATATTAACTGTGCTTTCAAATGTCTTTTGTACAGTTCAGGTGGATATCTTCTTTCTTTTGCTAGTGTTCTTGGTGTGCCACTTGATGATGACAATCTCATGGTTTTGTGGTCTTGTTCTCTCTTCCAAGTGTAGTTCTTTGGAATGATACCTGAGGTTGTCTGTCCACATTTTATCAAATTTTTATTTAGAACAGTGTATTAAAAAACTTTTTAGTGTCCTGTGGAAGGTAGTGGATTTTATTGAAGTGTATCTCTTATATTTAGGTCATACAATGTGTCATAATTCATTTTACCTTATGTTAGTCATTAGTCTTCAGGTATGTGATTACTCATTGTGAAGACAGGAAACTTTATATAATCAATATATTGTGATTTAATGAATTTCACTCATACTTAACTTTCTACATATACACATATATATCCTTCTATTATTTTCCATTGTAATTATTTGTAAAATCTTAATGGAATTGAACTTTTTAAATTTGTTTTCCAAATGTCCTTTTCTTACTGAAATGTCAAATGAATAATTTTTATATTTGTTAGTGAAATCATATTTTCAGTTTTATACTACTAATTTAGTTTTTTTGACTTCCCTTATGTTATCATGTTTTCTAATGATGTGATATTGAGAATCTTAATTTCTTATCACATGTTAATTTTGTGAATATTTTAGGTTATGTTCTTTCTTCCAAGATTGGATAAAATCTTTTGATTCATACTAAGTTCATTTATTGTCTTCCTGTTTTGTCAACACTAATAATGAGCCTATCCTATGAGATTTTTATATAATTTTTAAAGTTTCTTTTTTTTTTTACAACTTCTCTTTGTTATCTGATGCTAGCTTTATTTTAGTTTGTTTCCACAGATCTTGTAGTTACAAGGTAAATATGTTTATCATCACTAATTTTAAATCTTTGTGAGACTACTACATCATGGTTTTTAATCTTTTGTTGGTATCTTTTGATTTTCTCTTCTCCTTCTATTTGTGCTGTGAGGCATTATAATCTATTGAATCATTCATAGTTTCTGTCTTTTTTTTTATTTCCAGAATTTGCACTCTTTTCTTCTAAAAATAATTAAAAAATATCCAAGTAAATTAATTTATATAGTTAAATTTAAATGTATGTACACAGTGAATTTTACTATCTTTTGTTTGGTTGACAAATGTACATTATTTTCATTTTTATATGTATTTATTACTACAGTTCAAGATGGACAGAAATGGGTTTCATATGAAAGAGTTTATCCTTTGACATATAGCTCTTCAGGTATAGTTCTGCCAAAATATATTCAAATGCCAATGGGAATTCTCATATCAGTAAGCATTTTTTCCTGAAGATATTGACATTCCTCTCAGGTTATTGTAGCACTTCAATGACAATGAGACTCTGGCTATTCTAATCTGCACTGGGTCATCAGTGATTCTGGTTACCGTCATCAAGTTAGTGTGGATCAATGTCTCCTAGGGTAACAGAATCCTGAATGCTCAGTGTCTACCACGTATCTCATTCTGATGGTCCCTTTTATAAATGTTCCTGGATAAATGATGACTCCACAAATGGATCTTGTTGGAATATGAACAAAGTGAGTAACAAAAATAACTTCTGTGAACTGAGGTCTACCCCATGGTTCATGCTAAACAAAAATGTGGAGGGGAATTCAGTTTGGTCAGCAAGTGTTACCAAAAAAAAAAAAAAAAAAAAGTACTGTGGTATTTGAAAAATAACATGCTGGCATGTGCTAGAGAAAATGAATTGTAGATAGGTCTATATAACCAATTGTGGAACGATATTACAACTTTTGGCTACCAGTATCTACACATAAGTCATAAATAGACCCTGTGGAACCAACACTTAAATAATGAGTCCCATGAGAAATGTTTGTGACTACATTTGATCTATTTACGTGTTTGAGCTCCCAGAATCTTCTGAGTCATGATCAGTGTCTTTGGGGTAATTAGATTGTCAAAATCCAAAGATACTATGAAATTTTACTTGTCATTTTCTTTTAAGTGGAACAATTGTATGTAAATTGAAAAGTAGATACCTTATGTGGAATCATCATAGTATATTTTAATTTGCTTGTCATCCCAGTCACTAGAGATAATCAGAACAGTTGTTTACACATTGTTTTCTTTGCCTTTTCTATTATCTGAGCAAGAAATTTCATATACTTTCAAGTGATAGCTTCAACTACATGCTAGATTAAACATTTTTAGATGTGAGATGATTATATTTAAAATTCTTGGATTCTTACATGAATTTCATTGGCCACTTTCATATATCATCAATGGGTTTGTAATGTATTTAGAGAGACACCCTAGTTATAATACATAATTTTACATGAGTCTGCTGGGGAAATTTTGAGAAAAATATCTTAGAAACAATTATTTCTGTACTATTTTGATCAAAATTGTGAGCATAATCATTCTTGTCATCAGATGAATGAATATCCATTATGAATTCTTATAACTTTTTATAACTAAATATTCCATTAGGAAAATTTTGTCTTGCAACTTCTCCAATTTCCTATGTACTTTGTAGACTGGGTATAATATTAGAATTCCATGGAATCTCATCACTGCACCAATGAAGTGCTGATTTTGAAGTGCTCCCTCATTTGGGAAGAAACAAAACTATACACTCCTGATACAATACACAGTTTATAGTAAATTTATGTATCTCTGTTGTCTTATTATTTTTAAGTCATCAAAATTTAATTGAGTTAGTGGATAGTTGGTTAATACAAACTATTATTAGTATTAAAAATCTGTTGGGTTATACAAAGCTTTAGTCTCCTTTATTTTTCAGATTTTACTCTTTCCTCTACTTTGAATAACCAGAAACATCCTAGAGGAATAATAAATTAGTATATTTTTACATAAAGGTACATAGTGAGTCCTCCTGTCATATGCAGTTTTGGCAAATGGTCATATATACCTTTTATCTTTCCACAATGATTATTTTACCACATGCAGGTGTGGACCAAAAACTGGGTTTCATATAGATGAGTTTATTCCTTCTCCTTGATGTATGACATGAAGGAAAGTATTGGGAATAATTCTGCCTTCCATCCTTACAGGCTATTGGGAATTCTAACATCAGTAAGCATTTTGTCCTGAAAGTGCTGACATTCCTCTTAGGGAATCATAACACTCCAATAAGAATAAGATTGGCTATGCTAGTCAGCCATGGGGCTGGGTCAGCATTTCCCAGGGTGATAGAATCCTGATTGCTCTAGTGTCTGTCACATATCTCATTCTAAATAACTATTTTATAAATATGCTTATATCAGTAAAGACTTCAAAAATGGATCTTGTAGAAATCTGAACAAAATGAGTAACAAATCTCTTCTATAAGCTGAGTTCCAGCATAGGGACCATGCAAGGCAAAAACTGTGTGGAGAATTCAGTTGGTGAGGTAGTAGTACCAACAGGGTATTAAAAGCTAACCTGAATGCATAAATTAAGGGAAATGAATTGTATAGTTGTCCATAAATCTAATTGTTGGGTAAAATGGCAACATTTTATTTGCTTCACGGGTAGCATCCATATACTCATAGTAAACAGACCATGGAGAACCAACACATGAGTAATGAACTCAGTGGAAAATGACTGTGCATACCCTTAAGTCATTCATGCTATTTTCTTAGATGATGCAATCTTCTGAATGAGGAGCAGTCTATTGAGGTCTATTAGAGAGCCTATTTGAAAGAATTAATGAGTCTTATTTGGCCTTTATCTCAAGTAAAACAAACAAATGGTAATTTTAGAGTTGTTTTTATTCCTGTGAATGTTTTAGACTATATTTTAATTAGATTGATGGTAACAGTCACAAGAAGTGGAATAGCTTTTTTTTTTTTTCCCCTATCATCCAGGGGGCAATTTTCTAGACATTAGAATAAAGGGTTCATGTAGATAGTACATGAAACATTTTTAAAATAATAAAATAAATAAATTTCTCATTGTTGGTATTCAAGATAGATTTCACTGGCTAATATTTCTTCAGCCAATTTTATACATATTTAAAGGTGGATTATATTCATAATGAATGATGCTAAGGGGGGTAATTGGGGAAACTTTGACACCAGTACCTTCTAAATAAAAGATGACTATCTATGGTACTCCGTTTCAAGGAATGAGTATAATTTTCTTGTCAGGTAGGTTGTCACATGCATATCTATATATTTAATTCCTTGGAACCTGTTAATTATAAATATTCAATTAGTAAGGTTTTCTTTTCAACTTCCCTAACTTATTCCAAGTGTTATTGGTTGAAAATGACATTGGAATTGCTTGAAATTTTTCATTCCACACCATTGGAAGTGTTGATGTTGTTACTTTTACAAATTTCCCTTTCTAGAAATGACCAGAACACTGATTTCCAAAGGTGACGTGTTATACGCAAACAACGAATCATGGAACACTACATCAAAAACTAATGATGTACTGGGTGAGAGGAGCAAGATGGCGGAGGAGTAGGAAACCTGGATTTCGTCTGTTCCCAGGAATTCAGCTGGTTAGGGGTCAAACCATTCTAAACACCTACGAACTCAAAAGGAGATCGAAGAAAAGAATAGCAACAACTCTCTGAACAGAAAAGCGACCACTTTCTGGAAGGTAGGACGTGTGGAGAAGTGAATCTGAGGCGATATTCGGGAAGATAGAGGGTGGGGGAAGGGGCCTCTGTTGGCTGATTCTGGCAAGTGATAGAGCAGCAGAGCTCAAAATCAGAACTTCTAAAGTCGGCTCTGCTGAGGGACGTCGCTCCAGTGGCTAAGCGGGGGGTGGAACTCTCACTGGGACAGTGTGGTCTCAGGACCCTCGGGGTCACAGAAAGACTGGGGGTGCCTGAGTGTGGTAGAGCTCCCAGGTATTGGAGCAGGGAAGACAGTTGCAGAGACAGAGCCAAGGAGTGGGCTCTCAGCTCCAGGTTGCCATAAACCATGATCCACGGCGCAGTCGGGCCACTGCTTCTCCAGCAGGGACCCAACAAGCAGCAGATCTGGGGAGACTCCCCTTCCTCACCCCAGGAGGAGTGGCGCAGGGGTGCACTGCAGGGATTGGCTGGGTTTGGAGACTCCACACGGGGTCGTGAGCCAAAGATAGAAAAGCTTGGTCATAGGCTGGGTGAACACAGAGTGCGGCCAGATACTGGGGAGAGAGGAGTGATTGACTGCTTTTTTCTGGGGGCTCACTGAGGAGTTGAGCCCCAAGTTCTTGGCTCCTCCGGGGAGGAGATTGGGAGGCCACCATTTTCACTCTCCTCCTTCAAAGCTGTACGAAAAGCTTACAGAGAACAAAAGCTCCCGAGAGCAAACCCGAGCAGATTACTTAGCCCAACCTGGAAAGGGTGGGGCAATTCTGCCTCCAGCAAAGACATTTGGGAACCACGGCAACAGGCCCCTCCCCCAGAAGATCAGCAAGAACAGCCAGCCAAGACCAAGTTTACCGATCAATGAGAATGGCAGAACTCCAGTGCTAGGGGAATACTGCACATAGAATTCATGGATTTTTCCCCATGATTCTTTAGTCTTTCAAAGTTAACTTTTCTTTTGAATTTTTTCTTTTTCCCTTTTTCAATGAACATCTTATCAATCCCTTTTTTAAAAAATCTTTTTTTTATTTTTCACTTTTAGAGTCATATCCTATCCCTTCATAGTAGTTAACCTTATTTTTGGTATATATATATAAGTTGTTCTCTCATTAAAATTTTGGGATACAGTTGCTTCTAACAGATCAAAATATACCCTAAACCTCTAGTGTATGGTTATGTTCTAATCTCCTTCCTGATCACATTCTCTCCATTTTTTAAAAATCCTCTTCTTTCTTTTTTCAACCAACTTCTTATCTTATCAATTCCTTTTATAAAATCTTTTGTAATTTTCATCTTTACAGTCATAGTCCATCCCTTCATCGTATTAACCCTTATTTTTTGTACATGTATAAGTTTTTCTTTCTTTAAAATTTTGGGAGGCACTTTCTTCTAACAGACCAAAATATGCCCAAAATCTAGTATGTGGCACTGATCTATGCATCAGCCTGATCATATTTGATCATATTCTGTTTTTGTTGTTGTTGTTTTGTGTTTGTTTTTATTTTTTTCTTTACTTTTTTCTTTCTTTTCCCCCGGTTTCAGGTCTTTCCTGATTTGTTTAGTGTATCTTTTCTGGGGACGTTGTTACCCTGTTAACATTTTGTTCTCATTCATCTATTCCCTCTGAATAAAATGACAAGGTGGAAAAAATCACCTCAAAAAAAAGAACAAGAGGCAGTAACAACTGCCAGGGATTTAATCAATATGGACATTAGTAAGATGTCGGAACTAGAGTTCAGAATGACGATTTTAAAGATACTATCTGGGCTTGAAAAAAGCATGGAAGATATTAGAGAAACCCATTCTGGAGAAATAAAAGAACTAAAATCTAAACAAATCAAAATCAAAAAGGCTATTAATGAGGTGCAATCCAAAGTGGAGACTCTTAACTGCTAGGATAAATGAGGCAGAAGAGAGAATTAGTGATGTAGAAGACCAAAAGATAGAAAATAAAGAAGCGGAGAAAAAGAGAGATAAACAACTACTGGTTCACAAGGGCAGATTTCGAGAGATAAGTGATAGCATAAGGTGAAACAATATTAGAATAATTGGGATCCCAGAAGAAGAAAGAGAGAGAGGGCAGAAGGTTTTTGGAGCAAATTATAGCAGAGAACTTCCCTAATTTGGGAAAAGAAAGAGGCATCAAAATCTAGAAGGCACAGAGAACCCCTCTCAATATCAATAAAAATAGATCAACACCCCGACAT